AAGCACAAAACATGGGTCCACCCGGTCGCTACCTTTCTGTTTCACTACGCCGTTGTGGGCACCTCGGTGCCCTTTCTCCACGACGCCCTGGTCGGTGCGGTGTACGGCCCCGGAGGTCTCCGCTGCACGGTGCCRCCGGAAACAGAGGAACKSCGGAAGCGCGTGGCWATGGTTCTGGCGGCCTACTTTGCCCTGTATTTTTGCGTCCGCCTGGYCCTGCGGCGGAAGGAAAAGGCGTATCGTTTCTACTCGGAATTCTACGGGATCACGTTTACGTGCTCGGTGACGATCCCGATGTCCGCCCTGGGGTTTTACACCAACCGGCCGCTGGTCGCGCAGGCCTTTTGTCTGGCAGCGGGGATCGACCAGCTTTTGTGGTGAGTGTGTGGCACGGGTTGGGTGTTTGTTTTCCGGCGTTTCCTTCCGGCGACGGTTGTTTCCTTTCGCAGCCACGGGTGATTCTGTTGGTTTCCTTTGTCTGCTGTCGGTGTTCTGGCGTGTTGGTTCCTTTCTGCATCCCCGTTGCCAAATGATTCTCATTTGTTGTCGACTCGTTGCCTCTTGATTGGTCGTGTCGACCCATTGGTTGCCCGTGCTGTCGTGAATTCTTTGCTCCGTGTGCTTGCCTTCTGATGTTAGGTATGTCGATATAGCAGGATTTTTGGTAGTGTGAGTGAAACACAAGTATTCTTTTTCGAACCAACCTTTGTTGAAACAAGGTTGCGGCAGCTATACGTATGTCAGACATTGGTTGTTTGTTCTTACGGTATCTTGTGTTCTGTCCATGGCCTGCGCGTGCGTGTTGCGGTGTGATGCGATGCGATGCGATGGGGCGTGCTGCGACGTTCCCAACTTTTTTTTAAATGGCGCAGAGGAACCTTCCCGATCGGGGTCTGCAAGTATCTTTTTGCACCCGGAACCAACTGGATCAATCGCATGACATCGACCCACCACCTCTGGACGGTGAGTACGGCATCTCGGGTGTTTTGTCTTGTCTTGTCTTGTGTTATCTCCTCCTTTTTTCTTCTTCTCACCAAGGACCGCCCGCCCGCCCCGTCTCGGCGTTTTGGGCATCCGGCGCACGAATGAAATGAAATGAAACGAAATCGCCGCCGGCAGATCCCCCTGGTGCTGTGGGTCAGCGGAGGGGCCCTTCACCCGGTCGCCCTGCCGCTCTCGTTCTGCGTCGTCGGGACGAGCGCCCTCGTCTCCTTCTGCCTGACGCCCGTCGCGATACGGGCTCCGCACGGCGACAGCGATCCGGACATCTACCTGAACGTCAACCTGTCGCACGAGATGGTGAGTGGGCTCGGGTTTGGTGTGGTCTGGTCTTGCTGGCCGCGGCTTGTTTCGCACCTCGTGGCGCTGCGGCAGAACCAACGAGCGAATCTTTGGGAACAATCGGCCGGCTCACGCGCTTGTGTGTGTGTGTGTGTTTGGTGCGTTGTTTCTTTCTTTTTTTTCTTCTCTCGTTCCTCCAGTGGGCGGACGTTCAGTGGGATATCTTTCGCATCGGGGAGGAAAGGATTCCCTACCTCTTGCGGCTCGTGTGCTGGTGGTCCATCACGAACGCAATCGCCTTTGTGGTGCTCTTCGGAATCTCCTGGCCGTTTGCGGGAGGGGCCGCCCCGAGCCTTTGCTGACGCGACAAAACAAATGTGGATGCGCAACACGAGTGCTGGTTTCCGGCCGAGCCGTACGATGCCAACAGGTGCTACGACAAGTATCACACACTTTTACTAGATGGTTCGCTGCCGAAGCGTTCTTTGCACAAAGCGGCAATGCAACGTAACGTAACATAACGCAATACAACACAAACACAAACACAAAACGAAACAAAACAAAACAGACGATTGCAGATTCGATTCACTAGTTTTATCTCCGTGCGTGCGTCAGTTGCTCTTGCTTCCGTCCGATCGAAACCAAAAAACAGCAATCCAATCGTCGTGGCAACGAATGATCATCCTTATTGCTCCATGGGAACAAGGCAAATGCTGCAGAACCAATCCGATGGTTTGGGATCAACCCTTCCGAATTGGCGATCGGTGTTCAGCAAAGGAACCTACTGTTCACCTACGGACTCGAATCTCTCCGACGCACGGGACATTCCATTGGCAGCGAGGGCAATGGAATGCGGTGGTGCGACGTTTGGGCCTACATGAAAAAAATACAATGTTCGTGTGCTGTGTTGTGTTGTGTTGTTTGCGTTTTGCTGTGTTGTGTTGTGTGTCGGTGCTTTGCACCCTGCCGTGCTCGCTCTTCTCTTTTGCGCTGTGCTCTGTTCTGTTCAGTTCTGTTCTCGCTGTTCCTAGCAGCAGTTGGACCCCGCCTTCTTCTCGCCGTTCAGGTCGATGCCGGTGGTTTCGCTGCTCCCGCCCCTGGCGTCGCGCTGGCGAATGAGCTCTCCCGCCATGGTCAGAAAGGCCTCCTCCACGTTCTTGGAGGACTTGGCGCTGGTCTCTATAAAGGGAATCCCGAGCTCGTCCGCGAATTCCTTGGCCTGTGCCTCGGTGACGACCTTGTCGGCCGTCCGGTCGGACTTGTTTCCGACCAGGAGCTTGACGGTGCCCTCGGCGGCGTACCGGTTGACCTCCTTGAGCCAGTCGTTCACGTGGTCGAAGGACTCGGTGCTCGTTACGTCAAAGACCATGATGATTCCGTCGGCCCCCCGGTAGTACGCGGAGGTGATCGTGCGGAAGCGTTCCTGGCCCGCCGTGTCCCAGATCTGCAGCTTGACGGTTTTGTTGTCGATCTTCACGGTGCGGAACCGAAAGTCGACGCCGATGGTCGAGATGTAGGACTCGGTAAAGGCGTCGTCCTGCAAAAATGCGAGGGGGAGGGAAGGAAAGGGAAGGCAAGGCAAGGGAAGGAGAGGCAAGGAGAGGAGGAAGACAGGGCCAGTTCAGCACGGGTTGTTTGCTTGCGAGCAAAGCAAAGCACAACACAAAGCAACACAACACAACACTCACCGCAAATCGCAGAAGCAAGCACGATTTCCCGACACCGCTGTCGCCGATCAGCACCAGCTTGAAGAGATAGTCGTAATCTCTTTGTTTCGAGCTGGATCCCGGTGCCATGGTGGATGGATGGATGGATGGATGGATGCAATTTCGGTTGTAAAGTTTGGGAACGGGGTGGGTCCTGCAAGGCTGGGACTTGTTTGGTAGCGGCGTTCGTCTGTTGCAACTCGAACTGTAGGTACTGTAGATCGGATCGCACCAACTTCCTATGGGGTGCTTGTTGTTTGTTGGTCGAATGAATCTGGATCGATGCCACTCCTACCTTTCCGTACCTACGAGTACCATACGGTACGGTACGGTACTAGCAGCATCCATCTCATAAATAATCGTGCCGTTCCCGGCACAATCCAAACAAACGAGTTGCAAGAATGAAGTCATTGTTGGTGCACTACGCTACAGTACCAATATTTACGCAACTCGTACGGTAGCGTAGGTGGAACTTACTGGGGAAACGTTTGGTGACGTTCAAAAAACAAATGAATTTTGAAAACGCGAGAGCGCCGGCGCCGGCTGAGGACCGTTACATACACGAGTGAGGCGGGATTCGACACGACGGTTGTGCTGGTATGATGGACTGATTCGATTCAACTCGATTTGACTCGACTCGACTCGAACCGAACCAGGCACATGCTCGTTTTGGGGGTTTCGGGATCCCGGACTCCCAAAACCGCAGCTTTTCGGATCCAGGGTGCAAGTCTTTCCAACACAAGCCACCGGAACGATGCGAGGACGCACCCATTGCCCGAGCGCAACCGACGACACAAAGACTGTGGTTTTCTAGTGACACTGCGTACTTGCAGCAGTGGCGTACTCGTGGGTGTTGGAACTTAACTCACTGTCTAGTAGAAGTTGTATACTATTATGCTGTGCATTGCAATGCAATGCAATGCGGCACGGATACTACATGGTGGCGAACGAACGGAATGCCACGCTTTCGTTGCCGACTCTCGTCTCGTCTCGTCCCGTCTCCTCCCGTTTGGTTCGCCTGTTGTGTGGTTTGGTGTTTCGGTTGCCATCACATCTTGTGTTTGTTTCCTGCTCTAGAAATGRATGGGCTTGTCGTAGGTGTCCATGCAGGCCTCCTTGAAGGCCTCGCTCAGCGTGGGGTGGGCGTGGCAGGTCCGGGCCATGTCCTCCGAGCTGGCGCCGTACTCGATGGCGATGACGGCCTCGGCGATCATCTCGCCGGCGTTGGGACCGATGATGTGGACGCCGAGGATCTGGTCCGTCTCCTTGTCCGCCAGGACCTTGACGAATCCCTCCGAGCTCCCGTTGGCCCTGGCCCGCGAGTTGGCGGAAAAGGGAAAGTTTCCCACGTTGTAGGCGATCCCCGCCTCCTTGAGCTCCTCCTCCGACTTTCCGACGTTGGCGACCTCGGGGTAGGTGTAGACGACGCCCGGGATGGCGTCGTAGCAGACGTGGCCGGCAAAGCCGGCAATGGTTTCGACGGCGGCGATGCCCTCCTCCTCGGCCTTGTGGGCGAGCATGGGGCCGCTGATGCAGTCGCCAATCGCGTAGATGGACGGGACGGCGGTCTTGAAGTGGGAGTCGACCTCGATGCGTCCGAGCTGGTCCGTCTGGATGCCCATGTCCTCCAGGCCGAGGCCCTCCGTGTAGGGCCTGCGGCCGGTGGAGACCAGGACGACGTCGTACTTTTCTTCCTTCGCGTCCCCGCCCTTGGCCGGCTCGGTGGTCAGCACGACGCCGTCGTCCTCCACGACGCTCTTGAYGACCTTGGTCTTGAGGTTGAACTTGAATCCCTGCTTCTTGAGGGTGGTCTGGAACTTCTTTCCGATCTCGTGGTCGTTGCTGGGGAGGATCCKGTCCAGGAACTCAATGACGGTGACCTCCGCTCCGAGGCGGGCCCAGACCGATCCCATCTCCAGTCCGATGACCCCCCCGCCGACGACCGCCATCTTCTCGGGGATCTTGCGGATCTCTAGCGCCCCGGTGCTGTCGACGATCTTTCCTCCCTCGTTGTCGACGGGAACCGGGGGCAGCGGCGTGACCTCGGATCCGGTGGCGATGAGGATGTTCTTGGTGTCGAGGCTCTCGCTGCCCCCCTCGTTGAGGGCGACCTCGACGCCGTTGGGTCCGGTGATCCTTCCCTTCCCCTTGTGGTATTCCACGCCGTATTTCTTGAGGAGGTACTCGATGCCCCCCGTCAGTCCCTCGACCGACTTGGCCTTGGTGTCCTGCATCTTGTCGACGTCCATGCTGATGTTTCCGTCGATGACGACCCCGTGGTCCGCAAAGTGGTGCTTGGCGTCGTGGTAGTGGTGCGTGGAGGTGAGGAGGGCCTTGGAGGGGATGCACCCCACGTTCAGGCAGGTTCCTCCCAGGCGGCCCCTCATTTCGACGCAGGCCGTCTTTAGTCCCAGCTGGGCCGACTTGATGGCGGCGACGTATCCGCCGGGGCCTCCGCCTGGGGTGGATTGGCAGATATCGTAGCGTAGCGTGGCGGACAGGCAGGCAGATGCGTGGATACAGACATAGGCAAACAATTAATCAAGCAAGCAAGCAAACAAACAGGCAAGCAAGAAAGCAACTCGTTCGGTAAGCAAAAAAAAAGTTCGGGGAGAGTGTTGAGAGAACGAACAAGATACCGACAACGGTGCGTGGATGCACCCCGCGTTCCGAGCCACCCGGTAGTGCCTCGCGGGCCAACTGCGGTGGCAGCACCAAAAGCAGTTGCAGTTGCCACCGCACCCGGCAAAAGGCAACACAATCGTCGTGCCCCGCTTCACCGTTGCGTGACAGTTGCGTACCTATAACGACGACGTCGTATTGATCCGCCAGGGTCGCGGAAGTGTTCGAGAAGGATCGGAGGGCGGTCGGTCGGGTCCTCGAGAATACCGATCGGACAGCGGACTTGGTGGCGAACATCTTGGAGGAGTCGTAGGTTTGTCGTAGATTGTAGTGTTTGTGTGGGTGGGTTTGGGTTTTGGGTTTGCGTTTGGTTTCGGGACGCGTTTGTGCCGGGTCGGTTGCTACGAACGTGCTTATTTGCGCCGATGCTTTAGAGAGAATTCAGACCGCTGGTTTGGTTGGGTTGCGATTGCGACTGTGGTTGCGACTGCGATTGGTTTCGTTTCGTTTGGTTGCGAATGTTTTGCAGTGCTGCTGCTTTCGATTTAGTTTCGATTCGTGATGTTGGTGAAGGGGAAAGAGCCCGCACATGCATTCGCATCGATGGCGGTCGAGGAAAGGCTACGGACCGTACCGTACGAGACCGTATTGTATGGTACGGGAGTGCACGTAGGCTTTGGTACGGAATGCCGGAAGATCACGGAAACCCTTGCTGGCTTCGCGGCAAGATCCTCCACGGGTTCTCCGCTTCGCATCTGGGAACCGCCACAAACACCACGAAAAAAAAAGAGAGAAGGCGGCGGTTGCGGTGGTGACGGGACACGGGACGGAGTGAACGAATGAACCGAACGGAGCTTTGCCGTTGGGCGAAGGAGTGATCCGTTCAGCGGTTCGATTCCGTCGATTGCGTTCTGTTCGGGCCGAACCCTTCGACCCAAAGTATTCGACTCGATCGATCGAAAGCAATGAACGAAAGGTATGGTATCTATGTTACATATGATATAATAGTACCTTGCAAAGAATTTTTGGTCTCTCGGTCAACGACCGACTTCGTTCGACTTCGTTTCCGATCTTTTTGCCCGTACGAGTACCGTACGACTGCTCTTGGACGTTTTCGAAAACATTTGTTGCCCGTCGGTGTAGTCGGGCCCTCGTACTCGTGCCCGTAACCCGTACACACCCCATCACCAGCAATCGCCCCGCTATCCATACCGTACTCTATCACACACTACCAATCTATTCCATTCCATTCCACTCCATCGGTACCGGCCTCGATCCGCACCATGGCTACTAGCATGGCGACACGACCGCAAAGCACGCCGCTAGCACCCGACGCGGTGGCCACGGCGTCGGGATACATCGCCCTCCTGCAGGAGGAAGACCCGGCCCTGAAGTCCCACGCCCTGAAGAAACTCCTGGACTGCGTCGACCACCTGTGGCACGAGGTGGCCGAGTCCCTCCCCGATCTGGAGAGCCTCTCGGAGGACTTCGACCTGCCCCTTGAAACCCGGCGGACCGCCGCCGCCGTGGCCTCCCGGGTCTTTTTCCACCTGGAGGAGCCCTCGCAGGCCCTCCGGCTGGCCCTGGAGGCGGGGGAGACCCACTTCGACCTGCGGAACAAGCACCGAACGCCCTACGTCGAGTCCCTCGTCGCCGCCGCCCTGGACGCCTACATCCGCGAGCGCCGCAAGCTGATCCGCCAGCAGGAGGAAGCCTCGGACGCCACRTCCACRTCCACAAATGCARATGCCGAAGCCTCCGCCGACGACACGGGCATCTCCATAGAACAGCTCCGGGGCATGGTCTACCGGCTGCTSGACGCCTGCTGCCAGGAGGGCCGCTGCGACCACGCCCTGGGCATTGCCTTTGAGGCGCAGGAAAGCGAAAAGCTCAGGGAGATCCTGCAGGCCTCGGGGCCCGACGAGGGCCTCCTGAAATACGCSCTGGACGCCTCGATCCGCGTCGTGGCCAGCAAGTCCTTCCGCCAGGAGGCCCTGGCGGTGATCGCCGACTGCCTCTGCCAGCTAGAGACGCCCGAGCGCAAGCGCGCCTCGGTCGACACGCTGATCCGGGTCTACCAGCTGCTGGGGAAGCCGGATGCGGTGGCAGGGGTCCTGGCCGATCTGCTGAAGCAGTCGCTGAAGCAGTCCAGCGAGGAGGACGCCCTTCTCTGCTACCAGCTCTGTTTCGATCTCGTCGACACGGGGGACCAGGCCTTTGTCGCCAGCGTYGCGAGCGAGCTAGAGCCCCTGCTGGGAGAGGAACACAAGGACCGGTGGGCCTCGGTCTCGAGGGTCCTCACTGGGGGCTTCTCCTCGGAACTCGCCCTCTCCTTTCTGCACAAACAGTCCCAGGCCGACCGACTCGTCATGGAAAACCTCAAGAAGTCCCTGGAGGAGCGCGGCAGCGGGGGCCGCTCGTCCCTGCTGCACAACGCCGCGGTCATGACGCACGCCTATCTCTACGCGGGGACCACCAACGACAGCTTCCTACGGGACTATTTGGACTGGATGAAGAAGGCTTCCAACTGGTACGTTGCGTTGCGTTGCGTTACGATACGTTGCGTTGCGTTACGCCCGCAGGGGCAACGGAAGCGCCGGTGGAACAACCGCAGCCGCCAATCCATGTCCGGTTTCTCACCACTTTTCCTTGCCGCTGTTGGTTTTGTGTTGTGTTGTGTTGTGTTTTCTCACCCTCGAACTGCGCAGGGCCAAGTTCTCGGCGACGGCCTCGCTGGGAGTCATCCACGCCGGGCACGTCACGGAGGCCATGCATCTGCTTCAGCCGTACCTGCCTTCCAATCCGTCGGTGGGCGAAGACGGCACCGGGGGCAGCGCCGTATCGGCAGAAGGGGGATACGCCGAGGGGGGMTCGCTCTATGCCCTGGGTCTGATCCACGGATCCCACTCGGGATCCTCGGCGRAAAAACGCAAGGAAACCTCGGAYTTCATCCGGACCCATCTCCGCGCTTCGCACGCCAACGARGTCATCAGCCACGGAGCCGCCCTCGGAGTGGGGTTGACCTSCATGGGCTCTGCGGATTTCCTCGTCGTCAACGAGTTGAAGGAGCTGCTCGACACCGATTCCGCCGTCGCGGGAGAAGCCGCCGGAATGGCAATCGGCATGGTCCTCGTGGGGACCGGAGCCGGAAACSTTCACAACTCCCTCCCYKCCGAGGGCAAAGAAGAAATCACGGAAATCGTGTCGGAACTCAAGAACTACGCCCGGGAAACCCAGCACGAAAAGATCATTCGGGGGATTTCGATCGGTCTCGCCCTGACCCAGTACCAGCAGGAAGAGAACGCCGACGCCCTCATCGAGGACATGAGAACGGACCGCGATCCCGTACTGCGCTACGGAGCCATGTACGCCCTTGCCCTCGCCTATTGTGGCACCGGATCGAACAAGGCGATCCGCATCCTCCTCCACACCGCGGTCAGCGACGTGAGCGACGACGTGCGCATGGCCGCCGTCATCGGTCTGGCCTTTGTGCTTTTCAAGACTCCCGAGCGGGTTCCCCAGCTCGTCAAGCTGCTCATGGAGAGTTTCAACCCGCACGTGCGCTACGCCAGCTGCATGGCGGTCGGAATCGCCATGGCGGGAACCGGGGACCCGGAAAGCATCGCCATGCTCGAGCCGATGCTGGACGACATGACGGACTACGTGAGGCAGGGAGCGCTGCTGGGCACCGCCATGATCTACATGCAGCAGAGCGACACCAGCAACAACCGAAAGGTCAAGGCCTTTCGGGAGAAACTMTCCTCGATCGTCAGCGAAAAACACCAGAGCACCCTCACGAAGATGGGAGCCGTCTTGTCGATCGGCATCATCGATGCGGGGGGACGAAACTGCTCCATATCGCTCGGGTCGAGAAACGGCTTTACGCAGATGACGAGTGCGGTCGGGCTGGTCCTMTGGCTCCAACACTGGCACTGGTACCCCATGCTCCACACCTTCAGCCTCGCACTCACACCCACCTATACGATTGGTCTGAACAAGGACTTTAAATTCCCCAAGAAGTTCGAGGTGGTGTGCAACTCAAAACCAAGCGTGTTTGCCTACCCKAAGAAACTCGAAGAGAAAAAGGAAGAAAAGAAGAAGCGGGTAGAAACGGTCACCCTGTCTACCACCGCCAAGGAGAAAGCCAGGCAAGCCAGAAAACGAGCCAAGGAAGAAGGGGCCGCCGACTCGAGCGACGCAATGGACGTCGAATCCGAAGAAAAGACACCGGACAAGACCGAAACCGAAGACTCCGACGCCATGGAGGTCGAGAAGAAAGAGGAACCGGAAAAGAAGGGCAAGAAGAAGCGCGAACCGGARCCGACCTCCTTTCGGGTCACGAACCCCTCGMGGGTGACCAAAGCCCAGTCCCAGTTTTGCGCCTTTGATCTCTCCCAGCGATACCGCCCGATCCGGGTCGAGGAAAAGCCCTTTGGGGTCGTCATCCTCACGGACAGCACCCCGGGGGAGGAGGAAGACCTGGGGGCCGTCAAGGCKCCCTCCCTCGAGCCGGAGGGGGAGTGTGCCCCCCCCGAGCCCTTTGAGTGGACGCCTCCCGAAGACCCCGTGGCGCCGAAAGAAGAAGAACCAAAATCAAAAGAGGACGACACAAAGCCCTCCGCGGCCTAGAACCAGCGCAAATTAATGCAAACAACTAATAAAAAACAAAGTCAACATTAGATCGTCACTCGTCGTGTTGGTWGGTACATTGTTCCATTGTGAAACTATTGTTGGGTCACTAGTGCGAGTGTAATTGCAATCGTAATTGCAATCGCAAACAAATGGCACCGTGCCGACTGATTCCATGAAACGGCAGCGGGCATTGACCGATTGGTACGAACAAGAACCCTCACAAAAGGGGCGGCGAATTATGTCATGTCGGGTGTTTGTACATTGTTCTATTGTGMAACTGTTTTCTGGTCACTACTGTAATTGTAATCGCAATCGCAATCGCAAACCAATCGCACCGCGCCGGTGGATTTCATGAAACGGCAGCGGGCATCGGGGCCATACCTCGACCGATTGGTACGCGAGGGGTGGCGCATTACACCGAAGCGCGAATTATAGACAAATGCCACAATGCAGATGGATTCCAAAGAGCGGCAGGCAGGCAGGCAGGCAGGCATCGATCGGGGCTGCACTTTCATCGAATGGCACGGCCCCCAAAAAGGGTTTCTATCGTGGCAGTGGCAGCGAAACCGCGGAACGGTCCTTTTACACGCACACGCCACTAGCGGTTCATGGCGTGCCCGTTCCGTTTCGGGGAAATGTACCTCGAYTCCTCGAGGAAGGACTCCCTCAGGATCTCCTCGAGGATGCTTACGAGCGTCGCCACGCCCTTCGAGTAGCCCGGATCCCCGCCGGCCTGCCGGCGGACCCGCCCAAAGTCGATCATCTTGGCCTTGGCCATGTCCGGCTGGACGCCGCTCACGTCGTCCGGCTCCGTGTCCCCCTCGTACRCCACCAGGATCGAGCTCCCGTAGAACGAAAAGGAACGGTTGTCCCGGAACCAGCCCTTGATCAGCTTGAGCTTGGACAGGAYCCGCTGGATGGCCGACGTCCGGTGGGACCGCACYKGCTCGGGGAGGCCGGCCCCGCCCAGGAACCGCAGGAGGGCCTCCTTGACCTCTCCCCGGGTCGCCAGCGACCGGCCGAACTGCTTCGGGTAGTACACGTAGCCATCGGCGTCGGCGTCGTTGTGGGAGGGGTCGTAGATCCGCATCGCGGTCAGCCGGAAGCCAAAGGTTTCCTGCTGCGGCGAGTACTTGCCCAGCTCGGCCAGYCTCTTTTCCTCCGGCGCGCCGGGTTCGAAGGTCTGGGTCCCCATCTTGATGTCCAGGACGCACGGCCGGGAAAAGGTTTTCGTCRCGTTGTTGAGGAGGATGTACGAGCTGGGCCCGATGCCGAGCAGCGCCGGCTCCCTTTCCGCGTCCGGCGGCGGTACGGCCCGGTYGGWGGTTCCCTCCGGCCCCTCGTGGTACTCCACCGTGCCAAAATACCTCGGGGTGTACGGCTCCAGCCGATACAGCAGCTTGGTCTCCTCCGCGACGGTGGCCCTGTCGCAGTTCCCGGGGTCCTCCGAAAAGAGCGAGCAGTACCGGTCGAATCCCGACCGCTTGGAGGACGCCTGGATGGCCTCGTAGAARGCAACCTCGCGGATCCCGGTGTGTTTCCGCCGGACCGGTTTCATCACTACCGTRTCGAGGATCAGGATGGGGTCGTGGGACCTCCCGCCCACCTGGCCGACCATGTGGTGCGCTCCGTGGAGGGAAAACGACACCCACCGCTTGGCCCTCTGGTCCGCCGATTCGAGGATGGTTCGGGTCAGTTCGGGGTCCTGCCATCGAAACATGGGCTTGCAGCGCACCCCATTCGTGGCAGCTGTCGTTGTTTTTGTTGCTTTTGTGATTCGCTGTCCATCACGGCACGAACAGGCACCGGGTTTGCTCTTCTGTTCCGACTTCCTCTTTTTTCTGTTCTGCCTGCTGTAGGTTACAAACGACAGGATCAAGGCACAAGATGCCAATCCGAAAAGCACCRCGYGTTGCGATYTGTGCCGCGTCATGGTTTCCGGWRKCTGCGCTCTGTGTACCGTGCTCTATTCTATCTATGTATCTTTCGCTCGTACCAAAACGCAGCGCAACGGAATTGTGATCTTGTTCTTTCTCGAACGGCAGTCTCTCTCGGAGACAAACCGCGGACTGTTCTGCTCTGCTTTTTGTGCGTTTGCCAATAATCTTTCCCCGTCGATGCCTAAGTGTCGTCTTTCGTGGGAGGGCCCCACTAGCAGACACAAAGTGACAAGTCCGGTGGGGTATAGACACGGGACGTGAAGGAAGGGAAACAAGAATCCTGTTCGAAGACGGTTAATATTGTGGAAGTATGGTACATACATATGAGTTTTGTACTCGTCAACAGTACGAGTACGAACGAGCTGTACGGTACGTTGCAAGAAGTGCTGAGAACTGAGAACACTATTCATTAAGAACCTACGAGTAGTACTCGTACTGGATTGCATCGTAATACTGCATGTATGTACCGTATGTACTGCACGGTAAAAAAAATACCTCTGAAAGGCGTAACTTGGTATTTTCTGATTTGGCGAAGCGATACTGTATTCATTCAAGATTTACGTCAGACAAGAAATGATTTGATGACTCTCGTATTCTTTTAGAAGGATTTTTCGATTGTTCTGCTATTGTTCAATTTCTTCGTTGAATTTACCTTCAGTTACCGGTGGGGGGAGATTCGTGATGATTCAAAAGTCAGGAGTTGTCTAGTTTCAGAGGTACGGTACAGATTATGACCCCATTTAGGGGTATGGTTCACTACAGTCATCGGAGAACTTAGAACATGTAACCTTGGTACAATTACGGCATGATGCAAAGTCTCAAGGTACGATCATACCTGTTTGGGTATGATCATATGTGTTGAGGTATGATCATACCTGTTTGGGTATGATCATACCTCCATGGGTATGATCCTATCCTGATAGATATGATCATACCTATTTGGGTATGATCATACCTCATAAGGTATGATCATACCTGCCTGGGTATGATCATACGTCATACCCTGATGGATACGATCATACCTGTCAGGATATGATCATACCCTGATGGATACGATCATACCCTGACAGGTACGATCATACATTTCAGGGTATGATCATATCCTGACAGGTATGATCGTATCCATCAGGGTATGATCATACCTATTTAGGTATGATCGTATCCAAACTCTAACGTATGTTCTCTACCTACGATAAGGTATGTACTTCTTTGGTCACAGTCGACTCCGTGGTAGCTATTCTCATTGGCTTTAGTAATCAAAAACTCGGTTCTAAAAACTTAAAAATCCTGACTCGAAAAACACGCCCATTTTTAACTGTTCGGGACTCAATCGATCATGATATTTTATTTATGATCCTCAAAATCTTGGTTAGCGATCGATCATCGCTAACATTAAATTCCACCCGGCATGAAATTGACATTTTTGGTCAGATACAATTCACTCCTCATACCTGCTTCCACTATTCAAACGGCAATGTACCAGCGGGCATAACTCAACCACAACAATACACTTGGGATCAACCGAACAATAGAAGGAACTCTTAATGCAGGAAAAACTAAGTGGAAAGCTTTTGACGTTGTAATCAATCGGAAGAAAACAAAGCGGTAGCTAATTGAAAGGTGTTAGCCATGAGATTCCTTCTTTCGACCCATTCGGCAATCCACGTCCTTCTGTTCGTGGGAAGTCGGCAGACTATCTCGGCATCCAATGTACCAAAGAAGAAAAAAATTGCGTTCGAGGAGGATTGGAAATTCTGGGATAGGCTAGAAAAGGAAGTCGTGGATAGTTTCATTGTTACAACATTGGACCCGATCGCGACACCAGCAAACAGTCCAACATTACACCCAACTTTGGCTCCAATCGCACCCTCCGAAAACCCAACAAATGTAGAGACTCTACCACCTATTCTACCGCCGACTGCAATACCTTCCCCTAGGCCGTCTTCTATGC